AGAGGGAATTCCTGACACCATCTTCCTCCTCCTCCTGCTGCTGCTGCTGCTGATGTTCATGGATTTGTAATCATTGAGTTAAATGATATCCTGATCTGTTCTGAAACCACTCTGTGTCCTCTGGCAAAGTGTGATATGGCAGAGGAACCTGCTGGGCAATTTTAATCCCTTTTCCCCAGTGGCTTCCTCCTCTTTCACCCCCTCTTCCATATTCTGAGGGGAAAGAAGCCAACACAAAACTTTGCCCTCTTTTATATACATTGAAAGGTATGTGACTGTCCTGCCCTGCCCCACACCACCCTGGTGCTCCCCAGTGGGACCAGAGCTAAGCTCCTGCTTGAGTGTATGACCACACCTCTTGGCGTTTACCAATTGAACTGGTGATTATTGAACAGGCAACTAAGACCTGGGAGACCAGGATTCAAATCCCCACTCAACCATAAGCTCACTGAGTGACCTTGGGGGCCAGTTACTGCCTCTCAGCCTAACATACCTCACAGGCTCATTGTGGGGATTTAATTAGGAGTGGGAGAAACATATATGCCACCTTAAACCCTGTGGAAGAAAAGGAGGGATTGAAACTCAATAAATAAACAAACCTCACTTTAAACCCTCTAATGGCTTCCCCTGGCAGTGTCATAAAGGTATTGTTACAAAAGCCCAGCGCCTGTCCCTCTCTCTGCCAAGCCATGGCCAGTGGCGAAGCTGCGTGCTCCAGCACCAGGGGCAGAGAGCAAGCGGGGGTTTGGCTGGTGCGCGTCCTGGGGGTGTGGTGTGTGCCCTGGGGGTGTGGTGCCCAACGCAGTAGGGGAGGCACGTGTCCGGGGGGACAGCCGCAATGGTACCCCCCTCCTCGATGGTGCTGGGGGCAGTGCACTCCCCTGCTCCCCCCGTTCCTCCACCAGTGGCCATGGCAAGAGTGCATGGGATCTCAGGCACCCACACGGGGTCTGTGTACCTTTAGAAGACACAGAAGACACAGCGGAGGCTGTTGTGCTTTAAGGAATAGGATTTATTTGCCTGTTTGCACCTTCCATCTGCATGGAGGGGGTCCAGATCTTACAGCATGGCCCAAAGCACTGCAGGCTTCCTTCTGCCTCACCAAGATGGACCTCCCCCTTCTTCCTCTTTCTTCTTCCCAGAAGCACCTTGCTCTCCCCCAGAGCAATTACCCTGGCAACCTTTCAAACCCTTGTCCCTGTTCTCATCTCAGGCCAGTTCTCTTGCATTGGCAACTACCTTCAATGGGCCCTCCATGGCTCTCTATTGGTCCCTTAGCTTGGCCAGGCTGGTTTGCATAACCCAGCCCAGGAATTCCCAGTCTGGCACAGCCCTGCAATTTATGTCTTAATCCATTCCCTAATTAATCAAAACCCTGGCATTTCTTAATTTCTAGGGTTTACCCCAAATCTCTAACACCATTAAAGAACACTGAGGGGACAAGAAAAAACCTTATGAGGCTCCACAGCACAGTTGCTGTGGTGCCAAGCAGGAGCTATTAGTGCTACCTTCTGAAATCTATCCTGCCAGTAGCAAAGAGGGCACTGCGTGACCTCCTGAACTTCCAGCCCATGGAGTCAGTCCAGCAGCATGCCACAGTCAATGGTTTCAAAAGCCATTGGCAGGTCCATGAGAACCAACAGGATCACACTCCCTATCTCTTCTCTGATCATCCCTCAGGGCAACCAAGATGGCTTCAGTGCCAAACCCTAACAGAGAACCTTGCTGGAAATGATTCACCTAGCCATGCCTGAACTTGCAAAGCCAGCACCTTGCCACCAAAGGGGATATATTTGCAGCTAGGAGAGAGCTGTTAACAATTTCCCAGGTACAAAGTGGGCTTCTTAAGGAAATCATGTATCTATTCATATATAGAAAATATTTATTTACCTTTCATAAAATATCTCAAAGTGGTTTACAATTAAATTTCTAAACCCAGTGTAGCTACCAGGGCTCTTCAAACATGCTTTGTGGGAGGGATATTGCAAGAACGTATCACCTTGTTCTTGTCTGTCCCATGTTCTTTGCTAGTCCTGCTGGATATTCAAGTCCTTCTCCTGCTATGGTTCATGCCCACACAGCCACTCCAGTCAAAACAGCTACATACTTAGCCTTGTGACTTTTAATGTTGGAACTGGGCGAACTCTTAGCTGCTGCCTCCAGTGGCATTTCCACAGCTCTCCTTGACTCTTGGAGGTCTCCTTTGGGGCACTCCTGCCAGAACAGCAGTTGGACCCATACCACGGGCAAATGAACCATGGCAGTAAGATTTGCAAGCCGTATCCCTCACCCACCCACCCACCACACAAGCAACAAACGCAATATCTCTGCCCCACTCACATGCCCAACAACTAGGTGCGTAAGATACATTTAAGTTGTTGGTGCTGTTCCTCTCCCTAAATGCACATCAGCCTCTTCTTTCTCCTGCCACAGGCACCCCTCCTCCTTTGAGCACACAATTTAAATCCTGTAGAAAAATATATTTATTCTATGCCTGCGCTTCCAGTCCAAGAAAGAGTTGTGGAAATCAACAGCTGGTCTCAGGACTGCTGGCCCCAAAGAAGAATCTGTGCAAGGCCCAGATGCACACACACACAAAAACATCTTAAGTACCTGAGCAATAATCATCACTACTGAGTGGCTGTGAAGAGGCATCACCTGAAATCCCAAAGGCATCCGCTCTGTCGCTAACACTGCATGGACATCCAGAGATGTCCTGATGTGATTTTAATCTAACCACCTCTCATTGTGAGACCGACACTTTTGATGGGTGCTTCTTCTGGGTTAAATTAATTCAGGTAATTTGGATTTATTGCCATGTCTCTTGCCTGCAGAGCCCTCGCTGTGCGTTTCCTGGGCAAGGTGTGGTTTGGCAAAATTAGTCGGAGTCGCACCAATTTGTGCTTGTTTAACTACAGCTTCCTCCCCCACTGCTATTTGTTTATCTCGCATTTATTACCCACCTCCAAATCCAAGTTAAGCACTCAAGGGCTTTTTCTAGTCGCGCTAATGGAGGAGAAGAGATGCATCATTTGTGAATAATGTATTATGATGATACAATTTGGGTCTCTTAGCTCTAACCACAAAGTCCCGCCTTACATTATTTATAATTTACACACACCTTCGTAACATTTATATGTAAATATTTAATGCCCAAAGCAAGTTAACTCTTTGTTCTTTTTAATGCAAAAGTTAGAACAAGTGCAAGTTAAGAGGGCCATTGTTGATTGTGGGGAGAGGGTAAATTAATCTCTGAATGAAGCACTGTGTATCAATAAACTGATTGATTCATTTCAATTACAGTCTTGAGTCTGTGGTCTTTTATCACCTACCCCAGGGGTTGCTAAACTGTACATTCAGACCCAGAGCAGACCACCAAATTAAAATGGAGGAAAGGGTTGGATTGGATTGTCCTTTGTCTTTTAATCACTTGGATAATTGAAAGCCAGCCTTCTGCAAACTTTGTTTTTAAGAAATGGAACTACATCAAAACCAAAGTGCATCCAGTCCTTCAAATGTCTTTTCATAGCAGGAAAGTTGGTGCGCTACTGAACTCTGGAAGGAAAGCATTCTTTGAAAAAAAAACTGCAATGGAGGAGATCACAAGAGCTTTTACTGAAATGCCTGCACCATCTTCTTCACAATAGTGAAAGTTGAAAATAAGCCCGAAAAAATGTATTTGAGCATTGTTTAAAGTGTGCTTCAGTAGGCAAAGCCAGGCAGTTGTGCATGGGGAATGCAGCTGAGGGAAATACTTTTTCCCCTAAGAACAAACTATAGAGAAATGAAGCAAAGGCACCTATTTATACATAAAAGATATTGGCATAAAGACAAGGAGACCTGAAGTTCCATTTCAAACTATGGAGGTTTGCTTCAGGGCCATTTCTAGGAAATACAACAACGACAGAATTGTGTCAAGGATCATGTAAAATTCAGCAAGGAAATGGTTTGCTCCTGAGTTGAGCAATGAAACCACAGAAAGGTAATATCCTAATGCCATCCTACAAATCTATGGTGCTACCGTATTCCCCGAGGAAGGATTTCTGGCAAGCGATGGGTCGCACCTCACTGTAGTTGGTAAAAATGTGTTTGCTAAGAGTCTTGTGAACCTGATCAGAAGAGCTTTAAGCTAAATCCTGAGGGTGAGGGAGACAATATTACAGATAACAGATGAATACCTGGTACTCGGGACAATAGCTTCACTGATGTACAGGAAACTGATATGGTGCTCCAGAAACTTGTTAAAGAACAGGAAACTACAAGGAGGACAGAGGGAACAACTCATGGTTTTAGTTGTCTCTATACTAATACACAGAGTGTGGAAGACAAGCAAGATAAATTTGAGCTCTTAATATAGGATGGCAAACACGACCTAATAAGTTTTACTGAAACCTGGTGGGATGAGACTCATGACTGGGATATAGAAATTAAGGGTTATAACCTGTTCAAAAGGAATAGAGTAAATAGAAAATGAGTAGGGGGAGCATTATGTGTAAATGATGTGTACACTTGTGAAGAGATCCATGACCTGAAGAATGGAAGGCAGATTGTATATATATGTACAAATTGGAGGATAGGGAAACAACAGTGGCCTTACTGTGGGTATCTGCTATATCAATACCAGGAAAGGTTATAGAACAGCCAGTCTGTGAGCCCTTAGAAAAGGATGTTGTGATTACTAAGACCCAGTATGGGTTTCTCAAAAACATGTCATGCCAGGCGAATCTCATTTTTCTTTTCTTTTACAAGCTTGGTGGATCAGGATAAAGCTGTGTATCTTGATTTCAGTAAGGTTTTTGACAAACTCCCCCATCATGATATTCCTGTGGAGAAGCTGGTAAAACGTGGACTGGTAAAGTTAACTGTTGGGTGGATTTGTTGCTGGTTGACTGACCAAACCCAAGATACCCCCCTTCTGTTTCCTTCCATTGCCCACCTTCAGTGAGGAAGATCAGGAATCTTGGAGTTATTACTTTATTATACAAAAAGCGTTTGCTCCGGTCCTTTTAAAAATTATGGCACTGTAATTGGAGTTCACATCCCCCCAGTCACAGCAGGCTCCGAGCCAAAGGAGATGTTGATCTGATAAACATTTAGAAAGACAACGGCGTCCGAGACCCAGGAATTGAGTTATCTTTGTTTCTGACAACTTTCTGACTAACAGCCCACCTTGGCAAGCAGGGGTCCCTTCCTTTGACTTGGGTTTGTCTGATACAATTAGAGACTGGCGGAATTAAATGGCCTGCAAGGAGGGAGGCTCCCCGAGGGTGGGGGGCAAAATGCCTGAAGCAATCTCCTCGCGGAGCAGACAAGTGACACTGGCTGGTGGATCAATATTGTCTGTGTTATTAATATCAAAAGCATATTTACTTTGTTTTCGCTTGCCTGGCCATCGTCCAATTCAGGGCCATGGCTGGCCCGAGCCATTTGCGTGCGCCATAATTTACTTTGCTGTGTTTTTAAGGTATTGTTTTGTCAGGGCCAATAACTGTGATGTTATAAATGATCCCACAGTCTCTCACTCCCTCTTAGGGGTAGATGCAGCAAAATTAATTTCTAAAAGTTTCATATCAATTACTCCCGTCCTTGAGTTATGCACAGGGACAAAAGCGCAGGAGGCTTCAAGGCATGGAGGGAGCAGTACGAAGCAGCTTAAGGACCAGCTCGGGCATTTGACTGTCCCCTAATAAATGCATCAAATTAAACAACACTTGAGCCAAATAAATATTGGCCACTTAGCAAAAAAAAACAACAACAAAAACCCCACAGCATTGATTTTTATGGTGAGTAACATTTACATAATAAACCACTTGAGCAGAGAACCTGTCAGTTCATAAGCAGATGCCTTGTGGAATTGCCACAACAGCTGGTGTCACTCCAAGAGGACTTGCTGGATTTCAAAGGAAAGAAAAGATGCAGATGGAGAATCCCCTGACTTCTTCGATTCCTGCTTGAAGAAGGAGTGCTTTTCAGCTGGGAGGAGGGCTCTGGCATCCTTGATGGGGAACACCAGCTCGGGGAAGCCGTGTCTCTCCCCTCCTCTCATAAGACTAGCACTCATGGGCGTCCAATGAAGCTGTATGCTGGAAGATTCAGGACAGATAAAAAGAAGGATTCGTCACACAGCACAGAGTTAAACTATGGAACTCACTCCCACAGGAGGCAGCGATGGCCACCAATCTAGACAGTTTTACGTGACGATTAGACAAATTCATGGAGGAGGAGAGGGCTATCGATGGCTACTAGCCAAGATGGCTATTCGTTGCCCCTACAGTGGGTGGCAGCAATGCTTTTGAATACCAGATGCTGGAAACCATGGGAAAGGAGAGTGCTCTTGTGCTCAGGTCCTGATTGTGGGTTTTCCACAGACATCTGTGAGAACAAGATGCTAGACCAGGTGGGGTCTTCTTCTGTTCCTCTTATCTTCTTATACCATGGTCAGTTCTTGGGGTGCCGCTCCTCCTGCCTTTGGTGATGCTGCTGGGGGCGGGACACGGAGTGGGTGCCTCCGCCTGCCTCCAGCACTCCCCTCCCAAAAGCCAGTCAGTTAGGGACTGAGACCCCTGGGTGGCAATTTCCAGAGGGCAGCCCCTGCTGACTGGGGGAGGGGTGATTAAGCAGAGCCTGAATTCTCGGCTTTGCAAAAGCTCTGCGTCTATTTTCGGGGGGCGGGAGGAAGGGGCGGTGACAGAGATGGCAGCCTTCGATCCCTTCCAAACGGCCTGGCAGTGCAATCTCCTTTCCCAGGGACTGCCTGTGGCTGCCTCTTTCCAGCAGGCCCTGACATATGGAAATGCCTTGTATTCCTATTGATTAGACACTTAAGCATTCTCTGTGTTAATTATCTTATATTTATATTCTGTGGGGAGGAGGAAGAAAACCGATGCTTGCATCACTCACCCTGTAGACAGGCCCTCACAGGGCCAAACTCTTTTGGAATGCAAATGCGGCCAAGGTGAAGAATGGGAAAGGCAGAAAGGCAGGGTAGCTGCAGTTGTGAGGAAATGGCTCCCCCGGGGCTTAATGCCATTCTGCATCCCATGGGGCTTCTGCCATGGGGCAACATTGATCCCCCCCAATGTATTTGTGAAGTGCCCCAAACCTGGGCACAGAATTCCAGGGAACCCCATTACTGCCATCCCTGGACATACTCACTCAGGGGAAGGTCCTGTAGGACTAACAGAGGCAGAGAAATATTTTGGAGAACCATGTCTGGAGGTGGCAGGACAAAAGATGGAGAGGGGAGAGAAATTTGATCCACTTTGAGTGAACTGCCCTAATGTTAGGTTTCTGTTATGCCACTGTGCAGTGCTTAGAGTCACAAGATTCTGTTTACATTCCAGACTGCTGGAAGTCTCATGGGAGACAGATGTTGATTTTACTGGTTTCCTCTTTCTTTGTTCCAGTTGGTTCTCTGTCTTTCACAGAGAGCAGATGCATATTCTTTTCTGTCCTGCGTAGTTAGAAATAAAACGTAGCGATGTAGCTCATATTTCTCGCTCTTCTGCTGCTGTTTGGATACTCTGCATAATGGGAACGTGCCTGGAGCCTCATCAAAGGCCTAGGTCGTTAATCACCGTCGGAGGAGATTCCGAAGGCTCGACCGGTGGAGTAGAGTTCCAACACCTAATTCCCACCTTCTCAGTAAATATGTGGACAGCAACACAGCTGTTCTTTGAAATTCTCTCTTCTCTGAATTTTGCAAATGTAGTTTCTCCAGCCAGGGAATGTTTATGGAAAGGTACATAGTAGGATAAAACGTGTGTTAAAAAGGCACAGATGCATAAAAATAACTTCCAAAAATACATTGTATGAGGGGAAATCACTTTGTAAGACGTGTGTATACTAGGCACAATGGCATACAAAACTGCGAATCTTGGGAGAAGTTCACACTAGAATGCTGGTGAATTTTCATGAGGACTTTTTAAAATAAAACACACAAACCCATGTGGAAATAGAAAGTACTGAGGATCATCTAGTCCAACCCCCTGCAGTGCAGGAATATGAAGCTGTCCCATAAGAGAATCAAACCTGCAGCCTTGGTGTTAGCGGCACCATGCTCTAACCACCTGAGCTATCCAGTTGGTTGTTTTAATTATTGCATTTCTACCCCACCTTTTTTCCTCCAAGGACCTCAATGGTTCTCCCCCTACTCATTTAATCCCCACAATGACCCTATGAGGTAGGTTAGGCTGAGAGGCAATGACAGGCCCAAGGTCACCCAGTGAGCATACTGGCCAAGTGTGGATTTGAACCCTGGTCTCTCCCAGGTCCTGGCCTGACATTGCACCATGCTGGCTCTCAGTTTGGCCTCACAAGCCACCCAGCTGCCTTTAAAATGCCTTATTGAGCCTCTCTCTCTTTTCTCCATAAATGGCCTGACATTACATTCCTCCAAGGGTTTCAAGGTGACATGTGCACACATACACACACACACACACACACACACACACACACGACTTTCCCTTCCTTACCCCTATTTTCACAATGACAACCCAGTGGTGCTAAAACAGGGCTAAGCGTCTCCTGCCCCCTCTGGGTGTAATTATTTTGTGGGAGAGATCCACTTGCACCAGCACAACAAATCCACATTGAAAATAAGAGCTGCTGGCAACGGAATAGACAACCTCAGAAGGTGCTGGACTTTCCTTCATTGGAAGTTTTGAAGCAGAGGTTGGGTGGCCATCTGCCAGAGATTCTTGAGCTGTGATTCCTGCATTGCAAGGGGTTGGGCTATTTGACCCTTGGGGTTCCTTCCAACTATGACTCTATGAAAAAGAATCAGGCTTTCTGCTGTTTGGAAAGCAATGGGGAAAGGCATTCAGTTGTGTGGGATGAACTGGTGATTCGTGGCATGATGTTTAAGTTCCTTGCAAGCAAGCTGGGGATGGATGCAGAACAAAGGCTCCCCCTGCTCCCACAAACCTATCAAGGCAAATAGCTATAATCTCACCTCTTTGTCAGCCTGCTGCCAGCAAATCAGGATGATAGATCAATTAGCAGGTTGTCTGGAGGGGCCCTAAGAGAGACTGACTGGCCCAATGTCCCCCCTTTGTGGCTGAGCTGGGAAACTGCAGGCCCTCCACCAGGGGGCTTAAGCAGAAGGTGACCAATGGTTCATCCAGCCCTGGGCAGTGGGTGGGAATGGCTTGAGATTTAGCCTCATGCACAAAAGTTCAGACTGCAGTTTTGCCTGCCAGGGCCAGCCTGCCCATGAGGCAGACTGAGGCAGCTGCCTCGGGTGAGAGAATCCCATGGGACAGTGCCCCTGTAGGCAACCCGCCTGCCCCTGCTGCCACCACTGGAGAAGAAAGGAGAAGAAAAGGCTTCTTGAGATCTCATGATCACTGTGTGGCCCTGATAAGCAAGGCTTCAATGTGGGGGTGGAGGGCAGGGGGAAGCAGCAGGGGGTCACCTTCCCACTTCGCCTCGGGCGGCAAAACGGGTTGGACCACCCTTGTGGCTGGCTACCAGTCTCCTAAGCATGAAAGACCCTGTGTTTCAAGTAAGTCCTGGGTCTTTTGATGGAGGCTGCTCCCCATAAATTGCCTAGATCAGGTTAAGTAATGCTCCCCTGCCCCCTTCTCCAGCTTGCAATTTCCCTTCCTGATGTCCCAAATTTTGGTTCAGCCTGCCCTATTGCAATTACAGCATAGCTGCTGCATTGGTATAAATCTAATCGACTTTTTGGCCTTGTCAGATTAAAAGCTACCTCTCAGCCCACTGCAGTCCTCTAGATCTCCTTAAATCTGTACTTGGCTGAGGATTTATGGCCAGGAATTGCATTTTGCAAAATGATTAAAGTTACCAAACAGCCATAAAAAGTTGCAGCGGCAAATATCATTTTTTTGAAAGCCTGCTTAATTTATAAGAGGTGGAAGGTTTATTGTCATTTAGAGTCCACAGTGATGCAGCAATTTCACATCCCGCTGGTGCTTGTACATAGACGGCAGCTGGCTCATTGGTGAGTTTTGCATGTTTTAAAGTACCAAGTTTGGATCTGAGGCTGCCTGCAGAAGCAGGGAAATGTGGGACTCAGTCACAGCCCAGCGTTCTGCTCCTGGTGAAGCTCAGCCCAGTTCCTTTCCACAAGCAGGAAGGGTGGGTGAGTGGACAGATGGACAGGCTTTCTGGCAAGGGGATGCAGGCAGCTGAGTGAGCCCTCCTGTCCTGACTGAGCCCACCCCCCCTGAGAGCTACCAAGGGTGTTTGGTTTCCCCCCTCATCAGCACATCTTTAAGGTTTGCATTTACCTGATGTGGTTCTCCTTCAGATTTTGATTTCCATAATTCTGATGCAGTCAGGTGAGAGGGAGGACCCACTGGTGCCCTTTAAGCATCCCAGATCTTGTACCTCTTGGCTTGCTGGCTGTTTAACAGGGAAAGTGCTTATCCCAGCTGCATCCATGCACGAAATCCGCACTCGGCACTTGTCTGCCAATTATTCTTAATTGGCTGGGACAACAGAACGGTCCGACTTGCTTGGGACCAGGATCCTGCAATTTGCTTAGGGCAGATTTCACTATGTGTGCTGAATTTTGAAATTCCTTAAATCATTAGTATTTTAGGAGGGAGAGTAGCGAAGCATTGCAAATGTGCACAACACCTGAACTCAGAAATGTGCTCCTTGCTCTCCAGGAACATTTATTCCAAAGTAATCAGCTGCCACAACTACACCTGTTTGCTTTCAGGAAGACTGTCGCCTTTAAGATGTGGGCACGTTCATTTCAATGAGTCTACAGTGAGTATGTCTAACAATGGTTATCACCTGTCTGAATATAATTTATACATCTTTTTGCTTTTGCTTTTTTAATAGGCTGCTTTTCGAACAGAAGACTTCACAAAGTGGTTTACAAAAATATGCACCAACAAATAAGCCATAATGCAGCTTTAAAACAAGATGAAAACAGACATTCCATGACATTTGCAACATACAAAATACTACTAAACTCACCATATGCTGAGAGTGCTCAGGCCAAAATTCCAAAAACAACTCCGAAGTGAAGGGGAATGTTGAGAAATGTGGTGTTTGTGTGGACACTGGCAATTTTGAAGAACACGACCCACCATTTAAAGGTCTTCAATGAACTAGGAGACCTGGAATTTTATTTTTATTTTTATTTTTTTTGGTATATGGTGGGACTTCATTTCTTACACTTTAGGTACAAATTCTCAACCTGCACCAATGAAGGAAATTTGGTTTATCTTGATGGACCCTTTTCCTGAACATACAATGTGAAAAATACTTTGATATTCGACTCCTAGAATTGCTGCTTTTTTATTGATTAAATAAAGTTGATTGCTTTAAAATAATAATAAGAAAAAAATACATTGCATCTACATTTTGGAAAGCTTTTCTGACCATTTGGACACCTCACATGCTATCGTAACCAGATGTTGCATGGTGGTTCCTGAGATCAAGGAGCAGGTTTTTGCCTGTCTTTCCATACAGCTGGATTCCATTTTGAATCGTGAGGGAGGGATGAACTTTTCAAAACCCCTGATTTTAACCCTGGATTTTAAAAAATAAAAATAAAAATGGGGGGGGTGTCCTTAGAATTCCTGAGCTGTGCCAAATGCGAGGCTGCTGGTGTTCTTATAATTACCGGGTGTTTATGGGGAGCCCCTCGGGACATGGTTTCCTGTGGGAAAACAGCATCTAAATAAATTAAATTAAAACAAAATCACCTGTGGAAATCCCAGGGCCTGCATGTGGACTACAGAAGTGGCCTGCAATTTGCTGGTGGTTGTAGAGTATCCCTTGTAGAATGCTGCTAACTCTCTGACATGGAGCGTTACATGACCTTTGGGGTCCCTTCCAACTCTACAGTTCTATGATTCTGTGGGTGCAAAGCCCTGCAGCATCCATTGTCTTCAAGGTGGGGAGGAGGAGCACAGGCCCTTGGGCTGCCCAGCCACCCTCCCCCCCTCTGTGCCTTCCAAAGGGGCTCCTTTTAAGGAAGGCTTCAATGTATGAAATATAAATAAGCATTAGCCGAATGAAATTAATGCTTCCAATATTGTTCTAGGTTTGCTCATATGCAGCAGCCGTTTATGAAATTGCAGGGGGATATTAGAGTTATATATTTGCAACCTGTCAACTGGCCATTCCCTCTCCCTTCTCACTGCTCCGTACAGGAGGGGAGCTCTTTTAGGATAACATCAACCTTGGTGAAATACATCATGTTTCACTAATATATCCTCAAATGCCTGGTAAAAGGGCCTTGCCCCAACAACATATGAATATTTAAATGACAGTTAATTATTCATAGCACAGCTTTATTAATATTTGCTGCAGTGAGCCGGTGGGGCAGCACTGACGCCTCTCCCACCAGTACCACCTGCGGGGGCTGGAGGCAAAGGTGGTCCTGGGACTTGGGCATTTCCACCCCTGGTGGGCTGGGGAGTGGGGAGGAGAATCCATTTCAGACTAGCAAAAGGACTCTGCCTGCTGGATCTGATATCTGGAGAGGTCAGCCCTGGCTCATCTGAATGCCTCCTCCCTTCCTCCTCTAAGAAAGGGCCCATATTAGCATTTCCATGTGCATGGGGAGGGGGATTCAACTTTTAATTATTTAATATTGTTCAATTTCCTTTGCAGACTGCCATCTTGTTTTACGAAACGAATAGTGGGTGTAAATGGCATTACAACTTTGGAATGTCATATACTGGCTATATCCCCAGATTGCAGCTGGGGGAGGGGGGGTCCACAGCCACTTTCTATTTTGATCTTCGCATTCCAAATAGAGGTGAAGATTTCTAGTGACTGACAACAATAAAGGCTCTCTCATCAAGGCCCTGAGAACCGTCCCTGGAACTTGATTGGCACTTTCATTCCACGTCTCCACCCCTGTGGTCCTACACAGGACACTCCCCTGGTGAGGATCAGATTTCAGTGGGGAATTGTGCATCTCACACACAGCTCTGTCAGCAGGTTGCAGGCAACTTTCCACTGTCCTTTGAAACCTGGGTGGCTTTAAAGGAGGACTGGAAAGATTCGTGGAGGAGGATGAAGCTATCCATGGCTACAAGCCATGTTAGAGGCAGTCATGATTCTGAAGATCAGTTGCTGGAAACCACAGGAAAAGACTGTTGCTCTTCTGCTATGGCCCTCCTTGAGGGTTTCCCACAGGCATCTGGTTGGCCCCTGTGAGGACAACGTGCTGGACTAGATGGGCCGTTGGCCTGACCCAACAGCTGTGCTCTTCTTCTCATGTTCTTATGACCCACATGATACACCGAGGAGCAAGGAGGCCATGAGCCCACTAATTGCCCAAGCAATTCTTTGTGTCAACCTCCTCCTCATTTCCCCTGGACTGGCATTTCTGTGGCTGAATCCCACTGGGAGGGAGGGCCGCCTGCCACGCTTCCCAGGCGCATCCGAGGAGTTTAGCCTGCAGCACTTGGATAGTTGAAAATTCAAGATCCGTGTTGACTGCCTAGGAGGCCACCGCACAGGACTCAGCCATTTTGCAATTGCACCTCATTAGACATGTTTGGGGGTTTATGAGGGAGCTGCGAGTATAAATATTATATTTGCCTCCAGGTTATCTTTAAAAATGGATTTCTCTCCTCCTCCTCCTCCTCCTCTCTCCCCTCCCCCCTCTGTTTTTGTTGTAGCTTGTCAGCCCCTCTATCCAGCAAGTTCCCATCTTCAGGGCACTGCAGCAGCACAGCGTTCAAGCACCAGGCACCCTCTCGTCAAGGGCTGATTAGCTGGGTGATGCCCTGCCAATTAGGCCAGACTGCAGCCAGAGACAGCAAGCAGGGGAAAGTCACCCTCAACCAAGGAGGAGGAGGAGAAGCAGCTCCAGCTCGTCCTTGCTGTGCGAAAGCAAGGTGGACATCCAGGCTGGGAAAATCACCCGGGGCTTCTCTGTGCTCTGAGACAATGAGTTTCTGACGAGAGGGAAGCAGAGATGCCTTTTGTTGGTGTTGCTGAATCAGGGAATTGAGCTTGTGCATCTCCCACCTACTGGCCATTTACCTAGATGAGGCTCTCGGCCTGCATTCTTCCCGAGATCTTTCCATGCCATTCCTCAAAACTCTACTCTCCTCATTTGCCCTCCCTAGCATGAAAGGCTCAGAGGATATTGTGGAGCCAGGAACACCAGAAAGATTGGCAAAATGCTCTCCTGCTCCTCCACCTGGAAGGTGGAAACCTCTCACATGTAGCCAGCAAAGGCTTCAGCCCCCATTCTTCCCTGCCCCCCCCCACGGTCAAACAAGCCAAGACCCCTCTCCTTTCAGTGTCCTGGAAAGATAAAAGGAAAGAATCCTAGAAACTACTGAAGTTGGGGGTGGATTGGTTGGTCACTGCCAGAAGAATGAAAAGGCAACCTTGGGGAGTTGGCAGGACATGTTTGGGGTCTTGCATTTGATCAAGCCGAGCAGTTTTTCAGATGATTCTTAGCATAAAATGCCAAGAGGAAGGCGCTCCATTTGTTTCTTTAAAAAAAAAATCAATGAGATGAAACATTCCTTCTAGACCTATAATATTTATTTCAATGTTCTGTCAATAAATATAACAAGGTTAGCTTTCTATCAGGTTAGCTGGAAAAATCACTGAAGAGAAGTTCCATTTGTTAGACTTGATTACAAAAAGCAATCAATAAGGAAGAAATTGCCCCCTACTGCTATTAAAAAAAAGAAAGAGATGAAGGGTTCCATGGACCCATTCTGGGGTAGATATTGTTACATTCTACCCCACTCTCCAGCTGTGTGAGACTTCAGGGGTACCACACACCTACCCTGGTTCGGTTTCCTTGGAATGAAAGTCAGTGGAGACTGCGGTGTCTTTAGGATATATGCAAAGATATACACAACCTGAGAAGAAGATGGCGGGTGGCTGACAGCACTGACACCCCAGCAGATCTTGTGTCTCCATTAATCACAGCTTTGGATCCAGCACAGATCAAGCATGGCTCTGTGCCTCCAACTTCCAGCTTGCTTCCAGTTCAGACACACCACACTGACTATTGTTCTCCTACCTAGCAGTTAGGTGATGGGGTTGAGGAAAGGCACATCCATTAGCCTAGAGGACACCATCACTTACAGTGGTAGTATGTCTTGCAACCTAGTTCATTCTTTTGGGAGGCTGACAAGGACACTTAAGTGGTGCTGGAGAGCAGGTGAGGAGGAGGAGAGGCTGCCACCACCACCGAGACCCAGTCTCCTATGACACGTCAGCTCTGAGGTGCAGGCAGAGAGCAGGGCTGCCCTGGGTGGGAAGAAAGAGGAAGTGGATCAGAGTGCAAGGAGTCTTGATTTATTTATTTTTAAGTGCTTTGTGCATCCGGGTCTAATCTTGCCCCTTTCTAAAATTTGTTTATTGGTGTGTGTTTTTCCTTTTGTGAATCTACCAAATAATAAAACAAAATAAGATCAGGATTCAGAGGTTTTCTCAGGACAGGATAGGAAATGCTCTCCTGTGGGGGACAAAAATGAGAGGTCGAGGAGGGTCAGTTGTGAGGGGGTGAGAAATGCCCCAATTTTCATCTGAGGAAGGCTGAAGGATATGTACATGTTGGTTGTCCAAAATCCCCTCCCTGCCTTTCAGTTTCACCTGCAGGAATGGGGAAGAGTGGCCCACTCACTGCAAGTCCTCAGGTGCTGAGCAGGGAAGAGCTTGTGAGATGGAGGGTTGCTGTGCAGAAAATTAACACCCCAGTTAAGCATTTAGAGGCCTTTGTAATTATTCACTGTATTGCACAACTGTCTCCTGCTTCAGAAGGAAAATGAAAGCACAAGTTTGGGAGGAAATCACAGGTGGGCATTTCTGGGGCCATCTGAGACTTGCCATTGCCCAAATAACCAGGCCCAACACACGCCTTCTGGCAGGTGAGCTCTCCTCACACCAATGTGGGTTGTGTTGGGGCAGGGGGGTCATTGCCCCAGAGAGGCACCTCACTCATTAATTTATTTATTGGTGTACATATCCCCCCCCCATGCAAATGGTTACTGCAAAGCAAGTTCCAATAAGGGGAGGGGAGACTTGTGTGTTTCCCATGGGGTAGGGAGGGACGTGGCTGCTTTCACACATATCCTTTCCTCAGGGCCTCTG